GTAGTGTGTGTGTGTGTGTGTGTGTGTGTGTGTGTGTGTGTGTGTGTGTGTGTGTGTGGTGTGTGTGTGTGTGTGTGTGTGTGTGTTTATATAAAATTAAAATTAAGACAATAACTGAAATTTATTTCTTTTTAAATTTTTAATATTAAATAAGTTTTTATAATTCAATTCAACAAATTTTTATTAAAAATCTGATAAATATGATAAAAATTCATGTATTCATGTCGCTACCTTTTAATTAAAATACTAAGTTAATTTAAATATTTTAAAAGAGAATGTATAATATAAGATATCTAATGAAAACAGAAAAATGTCGCCGCCTGCACACGTAGATAACGTCAGAGTGATTGCGCATCGCCCCCGCACACAGTTGTGACTATATTCACTGCAATGACCTTTAGAAATGTAACAGCGCCGCATGAGAATTTTATTAATATCGAAATGATGTATGCGTATATTTAAGGAAACACATTTACCTACAATCTTTTCTGCCTCTTCGACTGACGATATCAACACTGTTGCAGAACAAACATTCGCCAACAACATGAATATGGCGAAGGCTTTGTTAAGACTCAAGACGGACACGTGAAAGAAAAATGATCGTAAAGACTACTGGTGACGTCACACGTCCCTTTCACGTGCGCAATGCATTCAGATGATGCATTATATTTACAACAAAGATCTTCATCAGAAAAGTAACGGGTGATCAAAATAATTACAGGACATAAAATGAATCTTCCAAAAATTAGTCCCCCTTATCTGTCTGTATTTGTATAAAGGATATTTAATAGGTATTAAAAATAATATAAATACATATCACGAGTATCGTTTTTTTTTATTATTTTTTTTTATTATTTTCGAGTATCGTTTTTTAAAAATAAATAATAAAAAATTAGATTCTAAAAAAAAATAACAAAAGTTATGTATTCATTTACATTGTGTATATATTCTATACGTGTTTTAGAATTTTATGTATCTATTTTTATATAAATATATCCATTTTCAATACAGTTTGAAATATATTAATATTGATATTTTATTCTATTATTTATTAAAAATAAACTGCTTCAAAATTTGTTATTATTTCTTGTATCTATTGATATATTTTAATTTTTAAAGTTAAATTTTTATTAAAAGTCTGATATCAAGTCATTTTTCAAATATTCATATTGTTATTTTTTTAATTAAAATATAAAAATCGACTTAAACATTTCAAAAGAAAATAGATAAAACAAATAAAATAACAGATAAAACAGATGCGATATATTCAATGTATTTATACCTTTATTGCATTATCTCATTCTTCTTTAATTATTAAAAAATAGTTTCAGTAAGTAAATAAGATAATGATGTTTTAATAAATACAAAAGAAAAATGAAGACAACTGTATCTGATTGTTTTAAAAGTCATCACAAAATCAATCCAAAAAATTCGAGTTATCAATTATATTGATATTACATTTATCAAATAACAGAAGAATTCAAGTGACAAGAAAATATTTGTTTAAGGCGACTTCCATAACTCTGATGGTTTAATCGATGATTAAATTATCTATATTGAGATCACTTTCAATGAACTTATTTATTTTTTGAAATTTAACACAAAAAAAGAGAAAAAGATTAGATAACAATAAATTATATGATTAAAAACATTACTTTAAATAGTTCTATCAATTGGATTAATCGCCGATTCAATTAATCAGAATTTAATCTAAGTCACTTTTAGAAACTTTATATAAAAAAAATACAATTACACTTATGTATTATACAATTATGTGAGTATTACAATTGTATATTTTAAATACACAAAATTACACTATATTTAAATTATTAATAGATAAAAACTGAAAATTAAGGAAAGAATATAAAAAAATATAACATATACAACAACAATTATCAAATTTTTTTTATGAAATTTATTAAAAATGCATATTATTTTAAATATTTATATCTATTCTACGATCTATTTTGTCTTCGTTCTTTATTCTCAAACGAAAATTAAAGTAGTCAAAAGTTCGCTGTGATAAAATTTAAAAAACCATTCGCATCCGGTTTCATCGTGATATCCGTTGAGACGCAGGAGGCACGAGGCTCCCGTATGTACGCGGCCGGTCCTGCGGGATATCCAGCGCTTCGGAAGAAGGAAGCAGCAATATCGTCGGTCACAGTCGGTTTGATGCGGTGGTATGGCGGACGCGGGTTCGCCGTGCGGAGGTAACGTGATACGATTGTCGCGATAAAGCGTCTCGTCTTGGCGATGGAGCGACGCGCGATGTGCGCCACGAGGTTACGCGCGCATCCCGAATAATTTTCCGCGAGTGTCCCATTCGCCGCCGCCGCTTACTCTCCGTCTTCGTCACTGTCTTCTCGCGTCTATGTGGTCTTCCCCCATTCTCGACAGTGAGGAAATATCGTAGTGACACCGATGGCACCGTCCACAGAGTGAGTCCTCGAGCGCAATCACTGGTCGCACTGAAGGTCGAATATCGCTCCGATAATAACGAGCTGCACGATGACTTCCGTCCCGATGTCCCGAAGCGGCCCTTCCTTGGACCGAGAGATGCTCGGCTTGGAATTGTCGGTCAGTCCACTCACAATGGGAATTGAAAGACGATAAGAATCACGCACGGACACACGCGATTTAATTTCACGAATTGATCTCGCAAATTTCAACGGCGACTCATTTTGTTAGAAAGATTCTTTTATTCTAGAACATTTTGCTGTGATACAGATATAGTTTACGATAAGGCTGAAGCATCAACATGTCTTCTAAAAATAATATTACTTCATTGTCAAATATTATAAATTAATATTATTTGACATGAAAAAAAAGTATTTAATACATCTTTCAATTATAGTAAATATACATACAAAAAATATAAATATATAAAAGAATATTTCATTTATTTTTTATTATTTCTGTATTATTTAATGTATTTCATAATAATCTTTGCATCAGACTTATGTCAAATTATAATTAAGTTTTGGAAATTTCATCGGTGCTTAAATTTACTTCTTTTTCTTAATTAATTTTCCTATTATATTTTAAAAGGTCTTTATATATATATATATATATATATATATATATATATATATATATAGCTATATATTCAATGTGTTATTTTTCAGGAAAATAATATTTCTTTTAATTCCTCTAATGAGGATCAGTATCAAGTGTTTGAAAAGTTCATGCGATATGATATGGTAATGAATCATCTCATATAGTGATCAAGGTCCTTAAGAGTGGCGACTATTATGTTGCGTAATTATAAAAT